CAATGTTGTGCTGCAGCATAATTAACACACTGTTCAAAAAAACTAATCGTGGGGATTTGGAAGAGTCTGCATTGGCAGGGCCTGATGATTATGGAAATATCAAGAATTAATAAAGTTAATGGATCACCGCTAGACTGTAATGGAAAAATAGATTGGTTCCTGCAGCTCTTGTTCTGGAAATAGATGTACAACATCCTGAAATAATTGTTAAAAAAATGTCAGAGATTCTCGTGTTATGATGAACTTGAGTAAAAAGATCCTAATTCACAAACTGAGAAGCTTTTAGTAGGAAAGCAACTTATATCATTGCAAGAATATCACAATAAGTTATTACTGGCGTAATATGTACGCGTACTTCGCTGCAATTTTGTTATAAGCTTAAGTAAACACGTAAAATGCACACATTAAAAACACATAACCTTCAAAACAATGAATTATGCATTTTGAGTTTTGATCTGAAATATTTTCATACAGTCATTTCAGTCAGTAAAAAGAGTAGCAGCCTCTTTCAGCCAGCTAACTGGCAGTGCACAGGAAAAAAACAGTAGGAGAGGCAGAGCAGCATTGCTCTGCTCTCCAGTTAAATCCTTTCTGCGTCTTATCAAATGTACTTGAAAACATTTATTTATTTATTTTTTTTTATTATCCAGTGACTATTTTTTTTCGTTATCTGTGTGAGCAGGTGGTGCGGAAATGCAACGAAGGCGCTCGCACGATGGAGAGGACAGAGATGATGTACACAATCAACACTCAGCTGCAGTTCAAGATTAAGGTAACGATTTCCCTTTTATAGTTAACGAGTAAATTAAATCAAACCAACCTGCAGGTGGTAATATTTTGTTTTCAAACTGATGTGCTTTGTGTGTTATTAACTGAGATGACTCCGAATCGGATTCAAATCTCATTCTGTGATATTTTTACGTCTTACTTTGCATCAAGTTTAATGACTTTTATTACAGAAGACGAGACAAGCCAATTGTAAAACTTCAATTTGTTTGTTAACTGTTTCAAAATACAGTTGTATTTTGCTGATATCAATAAGAAGGTTATTCGCTTTTTTTTTTTTTTACTTTTTTGATGTGCTGCTCATCTCCAAACGCTGGATGTCATTGAACGAGTTGAAAACTAGACGTATTCTTTTTTTTTTTTTAGCTCCCAAACATTTATTTAAATCAGCCTCATAAAAGACACCAGAAGTCCTTCTCATTGTTCTCATTGGAGCAATTCTCAAACCCTTTTCACCAAACTGAATCAATAATCGACACCTTTTTCTGGACTTTTTAGTTCCTCCCGTTTTTCAACCACATTTCATGTCATTTTCACAGAAAGTATAGTGCTTCTTTTGTCGTTTTTTTTTTTTATGACTATTTGCCCTGAGGGTTAATTTCTGCCAAGAAATGCGATAAGGAGAACAAGTGCGCTTTCATGCGTTATCTTTCTCAATGTGAACAAATCAGAGCAGGTTTACACTTTACGCCATGTGCAACATGTCTGTCATCACAGTTAATGAACAATGGACTGTGTCGTTCTTCTAAAGGCAGCATTTTTTGTCTTTTTTTTTACGAACATGAAAGCATACTTTACATGACTTGTATACTTGAGCAAATTTTTTCCATTTACTTGGAAAACCATATGTTTGCTTGTTTTGCATCCCCCTCCTGCTGTTGCAGTTCTTTCTTTTTTTTTTTTTTACTCAGTAACAAATACTCGATTTTTCCCTCTGTTCTATTGGACTTGACGTGTTTTAGCGTTGAACTGTTGCTTGCTTGTTGAACTGACAACCACTTGGCTCATATTTAGTCGCTAAATGTCGCTCGTCCTCTTCCCTACCTTTCAACAACTGGTCTAAAACGGCAATTTATGTCAGGGGTCAAAACGAGTGCCGCAATGCAGCTGCACGCACACATGTAGCCGTAGCAACGTAAAGCATGCACACACCGCTGTCGTCCAGTTGGCACAGGTCTTCACACTCACTGAACACACAAGGCTTGGCAGCTCATGTGTGTCTAACCAGTGTGGGAAAAAAATAAAAAAAAATAGCTGTTGGAGCATTTGGGATTCACAGACGCCTCTTGTGTCGACAACTGATCCACCTTTGGTCCTCCAGCTGAGGGACGTTACAACGTTCATAACTGAATGCATTTTTATGAAATGTGTTGTTTCGATCTGTTTTCTTTTGTTCCCCCAGCCTTTCCCGCTGGTCTCGTCCTCCAGGTGGATGGTAAAAAGAGGCGAGCTGACTGCATTCGTGGAGGACAGCGGCATCTTCACGAAGCGGAAATCCCGACAACACGTCTACTTCTTCCTCTTCAACGACGTTCTCATCGTCACCAAGAAGAAGGGGTGAGCTGGCGAGTTTTCCCAGAGTGTTTTCCCAGAAGCCTTTTGGTTTTCAGGGCTTGCAGCTATGAATCTCGAAGGCGGGGCCAGCTTCGCAGCGGAGTCGGTTCAGTCGTCGTGTTTGAACTTGTTCAGGGAAAATCCCTTTAGACAAAAAAAAATAATAATAAAAAGATATCTAAACTGAAGGATGCAGACGAAGTTTGAAAAGAAAACAAAATCTTAAGTTTTTTGTCTAGCTATTAGTGCAAATATTTTAGTACAATTAAAATAGCATTTATAGAAAACTTTTTATTAAGATATAGGAGCTTGTTTTAAGTCAGTAATTCCTTAATATTGATTTTATTACTGGCAGATTTCTTTACTTAAAACATAAGTGAAAAAAAATCTCATAGTACATTTACGTTTTTATAAATATTAAAGAATTATTGACTTAAAGGAAGCTATTATATCTTGCTGAAAAGTTACTTGTAGGTTAGTTTTGTCTTTTTCTAAGTATACTTGCACTGGAAACCAGACAAAAAATATTTGGTGTGTGTTTGCTGATGGATTATTTTTCATAGGTCAAAACCATTAATACAAATCAGTTGTTTCAGGTTCATAAAAACCTTCTGTTGGATAAAGTGACATTTAAGTGTTTGAAAAAATAAAATATATAGTTTTTTTTTTTTTTTTTTTTTTTTACAAAATTCTTTCTAAAAACATGTATATTAATTAAAAACATTCTCCAACGGTTGGATTTTTAAACATTTTCAGTGTGACGATAGCTGCTCTGTGCAAGACTTAAAAGAGTGAAGATATGACTTTATTGTGTTTTACAAACCTTTGAGGTTGCCAAGCAACACGGAAGCTGCTTCAGGTTCAGCGTCAGCACTTTCGGTATCTCGAAGTTGGTGCTTGTATAACTTGGCTGGAGTCCTGGCCTGCCCAGATTATTTTTTAGATAAGGGACCAAGATTGTAAAAGGAGCCACATCCCTGACGGTTGTCTCGTCAGGGATGTAATGGAAAAAATCCGAAGGTAGAGGTGTCTTGTACACCGAACATAAGCGTCCAGGGTTTATTAGAGGCCTCTTGATGGGAGAAAAGAAGCAGCTTTAGTCTAAACCGGCTGGATGTAAACATTTCCATGCTCTGACTTAATCTGTTGCTCATGTGTCTCAGAGAACTCCTACCTCTGCAAAAAGCCCAAAGTTATTCAGACTCCAGGTAGATTTGGATTAGAAGTAAACTTTTTGATTTTAACTAATTTTTTACAGTGGTTCAGTCCCAACTTAAAAAAAAGAGAATAGTCGAAACATGTCAAAAAAATAAATGCTTTAGATCTACTTCAGCAGCCATAAATGCTTTTCCATTAATTGTAAAGAAGAGCATGAACCCTACCCGATGAACTCTTAAGTCTTTCCATTGTCATCTGTGCTTTCGAGTGCGTAATTATGTCTCTATTTTTAGACAACGGCAAAAATAAACATTCAAAAATATGCAGAGAACGTCCGTAAAGCTGTGTGTTTTTCATCTGCGTGCGGTTTCAATCGCATGCTTGTAAAATTTTTCCGAAATATCCTGTCCTTTCTTGTCATGTGTCTGGATTCGATTGCCATGCTTCTCGCAGACTGAGAGTTCCCAAGAATCATAAAAAAAAAAAAAAAACGAAAAAAACACTAAACCACATTCCTCCTTGTGTTTTTCTGAGAATCTGATCTGGAACAGCAGACTCCAGCAGTGAAAAGCGTCAGGGACCGTGTGTTTGGAAAAGGGGATTTGGTAAAGGGAGTGCTTTGGAATCAGTGTGTGCGTGTGTGTATGTGTGTGTGTGTGTGAATGGGAGAAGCTGTTATAATATTGGTTTGTACCGTTTGGAGAGCCACGGCTGCGCCGTGGCACGCCACTGCGCCGCGCTCCAGCTGCGGCGCCGGAGGCTCACGAGGCCGGCCGGACAGCGGCAGGCCACACGCCCTCTGCGACGCAACAAAACAGCAACTGTCTCGTTGGTTCTGACCCAGAGTGCGGTCCGTCGCGCGGCTAAATCCAACGTTGCCTCAGGAAGAAACCTCCCTGCTTCTTCTTGTCCAGTTTGTATTTCTCCAAATGCTAACACTCGGAAGGCGTAGCAGGGTCAGAACCGTGACACTTATTAAACGTTAGAGAACGACCTTTGACCTTAGAAGGTTTTCAGGATGAAGGTAATGTTAGATAATGATACGAGTAACAGAAGTGATGTTGTAATGTACTGGTTATCCTGTACTTTATTCTGTTAATGTAGCAAGAGCTGTGTTAGTTTCACCCACATTTTATGTGTTTTAAAGCTAACGCTTTGCTAAGCTATTGCTTTTAAGCTTTTTCTTTAAATACTCAGTGGAAAGTAATGACTAACTTCTTGTAAGCAGCTTTTGATTTAAAACTAGAGTCTGGAAATCACGTCATGTCAAGACTTTATATCACACTCTCTAAAAGTTGCTCAGGAAAGCCTGCGCAGCTCAGCGGAGGCCTGCTAACTCTCCCTAACATTTGGTTTCCATAGCGATGGTTCCAGATCTGATTTTAAGATAAGAGTGGTGGTCCAGAATAACATGGACCAAGCAGATTGGATTCTCTCAGCTTTTCTAGCAACTCTACAGAAATACAATTTTAGGCCAGCCCCTTAAATCAAAGTGCAATGGTACAAAATATTTTACTTTTTAAAGATAAAAACCTGATAATCATTGAACAAAGTGAACTTAAAATACGATAAGACAATGTAACATAAAAACAACTAATGTAGAACTCAGATACCCAGACACAATTATAACACACAGCGACTTACTGAAGAGGATAGTTTGAAAAATGTATTTTTTTTAACTATTTAAACACAGTTTAGCAGTTAGACATGTTTCATATGCATTCGAAGATATGAAATCAAAATTTAAATAGGATTTTTTAACTATATTCGTCTTCAGTGTTGTTGTTGTTTTTCTTCTTGGTTATTTTTGATTATTTGTTCCTCAAATCATAAAAAGTTCCCAAACGCTCCAAAATATCACATATTATCCGTTTTCACACCAGAAACGGCCGCAAACGGACGAATGCTGATTCTTTAAAATTGATCACAGTTAAACTTGCAGCCGTTTTAAACTCGTGTGACCAAAACAACCAGTGTGAAATGCTGAGCAAGTCCAGCCTGGTAATCTGTCTTTACTCCTGTGCATTCAGCGGAGATGAAAACCGCCCTGGACACCATCAGGGCTTTTATCTCTTTCTCTCTCTCACACACATTCACACCAGTGAACATAAAGCTCTTCGGTGCGCATGTACTCATTTGTCTGCATGTCTGAGCCGGAGTCTCATCCGCCTGAGAGACTGTGCGACTCCCGGTTTGTTTGCTGAAGAGCAAAGTGTAAATCAGAGAAGCAGAAGCTGGCACGGTATGCGGAAACATTTGGTTGATGTCTGAGCTCCCTTAATCCAGAGCAGTGTGTTTGTTTGGATAAACCTTGCGGTAGTTTTCGTCGTATATCATTTTCGGTGTTTATAATCCTCCGCATTCATGTCAAAATGCGATCGCAGCCGTCTTCCACTTCCCTTTAGCTGCTACGTAGCAATTACCGGGGCATGATACCTGCTCACCCGATCACTCATGGAGACTCACCGTACAAACGTTACGCTCCCCACCCATCCTGTTCACGTCACTAGAATGGCATTCCTGGAATTTTTACCGGTAGATTTGTCCTCAGGGAGGCAACAATGCTGATAGTCCTAAAATCAGTCGAGGAAGACCAGGAAGAGATACTTTTCTAACTCTACTTCTACACAGCTTGAGCCGTGTTGGAGTGATTGATGATCAGGTGCTTATGAAGTGATAATAAAAGAAACTTCCATGTTTTTAGGGGTTAGTGGTTAAAAGTGAAATCAGAAGCTAAGGAAGCAACAAGTCAGTTGTTAATGCTAGGCGCTAATCATGCTAACCTTAGAGATGCTAAATATAGCCTAAAAAGGCAGATAGTTTTGTCTTTTTCAGATAAGTAAGTAAAGCACAGTTCTGATGACAATTTTCCTCACACAATCTAATTATTACAGCTAATAATTTTGACAGCTGTTTCATTTGTGCTTATTGAAGGTAAATCGGATGAGCAAAGAATCAACCAATCAATGATGGGAGCAGCTCTACTTTATTGGGTTTGCAGTCGATAAAGATTCCGTTCGTTGTTGATTTTAGTTTTCATTGAATCATCTTCAAAGCTCAAAATGAACTTTGTGTAAATATAATCAAAACGTCTATTTACTCATGTCTAAACGTCGTGTTTAGTTTTTAGGTGTCACAGCTAAGTTACAGTCAAAAAGAGCGTAAATATGCACCTGCATTATCCAAGCGTCCGTGTGTAGCGGTTAGCTGTGCGCAGCGTAGCATATCAAAACTCTGCCCTAACCTAAACTTTGTTTGAACTATTCTCAAAAGTTGGGAACTGTGGCTTCATTACCAACATGTGCGTCTGTTTTTTTCTGCGTTTTGAAAGGAAACTTTGACACTGGTAGCACTCAAACTAGCTCTCAGGTGTGTCAGCTGGTAAAATGGGATTCGGAGATTCTAGTGTCGCGTCTTCGCCTGACTTCTGCTTCAGAAGCCTTTCTGCTGATATTTCCTGACTTGCATAAAATCATGAAGCCTGAAGGACAGACTGTGTGTGTGGTTGGTTAGCTGTCTGCACCTTCTGTACTTTGAGAGCGAGCTGTCCAAACAGAAAACAGTGGTTCAAGGAAATAGTCACTTAAAATGTTAACAATTCTTTTTGATCACAGAGCCTGCAGAGATGGCTTTAGTTGGTGTTTTTTCCCCTGCTTGTCTCTGGCCTTGGCTTCTTTAAGCAAATGACTTTTACTCTTGTATTTAAGAACGTGTTCAACAGATTCAGATTCAAGGTTGCAATGCTCACCCAGATAGCATCATCCTCTCTGAATGCGTCCAGCCAGCTTGTGCAAGACCAAACTCTAAAACCATAAATGTTAGCTAGATGTATCCATGCAAGCCTGCAAAGTACAACGCAACTACATTAGCCAAAGGATATTTAGTTTCCTTTTAAAACACTGGGCCAGCTGACAAAAATAACTAAATTAATCCGTTTGCAGTCCTTAATCTGTAGGTGCTTGTTCTGAGTAAAAGTATTGTTTTTTCTAAACTGGATTGTGGAATTGAAATTAGACTCAATTCCAATAAAATGTCGTTGTGTAATTTTTATTTTGAGACGTGTTTGTTGCTCTGGTTAGTAATAATTTAATGAAGCAAATATTTCTGTCTTAGTGAATTTAACAGTCAAATCAAGCTATTCCATATTTTTTTTTTCTGTTCCCATGCACTACTTCCAGGAAGGAAAGTTTTCCTTCCTGTTGTTTGCTACCATTAAAACTAACTTTTACCTGGTGAAATGCAAATTTTAATGTACAGTCGGTGGTCTTTTTTCCCCTTATACGATTTATTTGTGTCATATCAGATAAAATGACAGTAAAATATAATAAAGTTTGTGGCTGTAATGCAAAAAAAGAGCACTGTATCTTCACTTTTGTTTTCTATCGATGAAGAACAGAAGTGTGTGGCTGAATTCTTCGCCTGCAGACAGTTTCACTATCTTGAATAAAAAAAAAAAGAAGTTATTAATCATTTTTTCTTTGTACCTTTTTTTTTTCCTCCACCAGTGAGGACAGCCACACAGTCATAGACTACGCCCTGCGGGATCAGATCCAAGTAGGCAGCAGTCAGCCGGAGGACGTTCACCTCTCACCGGTCAAGAGTCCCACGAGCATGCTGAGCTCACGGCAGGTCGGCGCAAACCATCTCTTCCGGCTGTGTTTCCGTAGCAACCACTCCAGCGAAAAGGTGGCAATGATCCTCGGAACGGAGTTGGAGTGAGTGCCTTGTTTTGTTTATCCTTTTCCTCATTTTGTCTTTTCTTTTTTTTTTTTTAAATTAAGCCATTTTCCCTGTTCAAATTTCACTTAAGCATTTACAACACTTAGCCTTAAGTGGGAGTGAATAACTTTTTGCCCGTGGCGTAATGTCACTCTTGCGTGTCTGTACGTGTTGAAGGCTCGTCGTACGGACGGTCTGGGCTATTGGCTCAGACAGCAGAGGGAACCTGAGATCTTTAAATATTCTGACTGCAAGGCCAGATTTTTAGCTCCGTTACGTGCTGCTGTGTTCACCTTCTAACTCACAGACGGACAAAAATTCCCTCGTGGTTTTAGCTACATTAAAAGCAACGAGTCTATTTCTGAATCCGCTCTGAAAACAAACGCAAAGATGGAAGTGAAATTTGTTGTCGTCTTTAAAGGCTAAAGTTAGCAAGTGCCAACCAAAGTCCTAAAAACAGCCTGTAAGCTGTTAGCTGTAGCTAACTCACCCCTCTGTAACTTCATCTCTCCTCATGTAGTAATTAGGGAGTAAAGTGAGGATGTTCGGATTACATAACCCAAACAAAGGAAAGGGATCTGCTTTTACGTTGGCCTTCGCATTCGTTCACATGCATGGATGCGCAAACACACTATGCCGTACGCTGTAATCATCCGTTGTGGTTCAAAGCTTTGCTAAGTCTTTACTGTTCCCCCCTTCTCTCTCATGCAGCTGGAGAAACTCCCTCCGTCTTCTGACGGGAGCAGCTGTGATTTATCGCTTTTGTGTGGAGGAATTTATTGTGTGGAACATTTCAAACGTTTCTTACACCTTCCTGTTTTTGCTTTTACCAGACATTGAAGCCTACCTATTTAACTAAACCCTAAAGTACATGTAATATTTTTCACTACTTTTCTATCCTTTGCCAAAAAAAAAAAAAAAGCTTCAATATTCAATAAATCTTCCCTCTTAATTTTTTTTTTTTTAGCTTCTTGTATATCATTGCAGCCGTTAATTACTTTTTTAAATTTTACTCCAATGAAAATATGAAACTCGACAGGTACTGGTTTGTGTCGGTGGTGTCATCCGAATGCAATCTTCCTGCCCTGCCTTCCTCTCTGCTGCATGAGTTGTTGTGGAAAAACCAACCCAATTTCCTTCGTTTGGTGGCGTCTGCCACAGCTCACCGAAATCCTGAATGAGCCGAGAAAACCCAGCAGGGAGACCCTGGCAACAGTCCAGTGTCATGGTGGTAACTAGGCTTTGTTTAAGCTGTTGTTTAGCAACAGACAGCAGCTAAGCTGGCTGTTTCCCACGATCGTGCCCCCACCCACCCACACCCACTCTCTGCTGCTCCTTTACTTCTCCCGATCCTTCGACACATTGCCCAGAGTCTGCGTGCCTCTTCTTTCACAAAGAGGACTGTGTGAGCTCTTTGTTTTCTGATGACCGTCCCGTCCGGTCGTCCCAAGTTTAGTAAAAAAAAAAAAAAAAAAAAATCGCACAACATGGAGTCTTGTCTCAGCAGGCTGGGAGTTAAACAAGGGAGGTTGTTAGCAGCTCCACTTAAAAATAGATAATAAAAAAAAAGTTTAACGAGAGACCTTCCTTTTTTTTTTTTTTCCTCTCCCCAGTACTAATCTGAGCCAAATACTTAGTACACCAGTGTCTAGAGATAGCTTCTGCAGGCTAACATCTGCTCCAAAAAAGAAAGAGGTCATAATGTTCTGACAAATAAAACGTGAATAGCTTCAGTTATTTCTAAAGACATATCTGACCCGATACATACAGCCAATCTAAAGTAAACTCGTTGCCACAATCTTGCTGCTGATTCTTTCATGCTGAATCATTCATTGAAGTCTTAGGCTAATGCTAGCAAGTTTACTCTGTGTTTTGATTTGACTTGTTGCTATTTTTTTTTTTTCACCAGCATCTGGTGCCCCATACGCTTTTCACGAATAGAGAATGACAAGCTGCTCTACAATATTGCAAATCCACACACACACACACACACACACACACACACACACACACACACACACGCATTTCCCAGGCACTCCAACAGACTGTCAATCATTTGCTCCAAATTGCCCGTAGGTACGAGCATGCTGTGACTTTCTCCAGCAGAAAATAAAATTTGGCGTAGCTGTAGAAGATGAATTAAGATTCACTTTTCTCCCGTCATATGCTTTACCTGTCTGTACATTTTAGAGCTTATTTTCTGCAAAATCCACACAAGGATTTGATGAGTTTAATGAGTTTAACTTTTATGGATTAAAAGTTTTCAGCCGATGTGATTTGAAATGATTTGGTCATCTGGCCCGGTCAAAACACGATAGATTTGCTGGAAACCGTCCCCTTAGATACCTGATCTAAAATTATTGAAGCATTTAATGAACATATAGTCCTTTTACAGCACAGCAGGGAGGTAAATTAAGAAGAAATTTAGTTAATTCTGAACTTTTAAGCCGTTTTTTTGTGGATCACCGAGCATTTGAGAGCAAAAGTGACAAAAAACTGCAAGATTTCTCGTTCAGTGAACTCAAGCCTTTGTATCTGCTTCCCTGGAAAAGAAATGATTCTCATCTTAAAACATTTAAATGTTCATTATGTTTCCTTTTACTGCTGACTTTGAGTGCAGCGAATGTTTGGCGTTCCAGGGTGAAATTCTTCACATTCTGACTTTAGGCTCGTCTGTTTTTCTTTCGGAAACAAAACTGCAGAAATGGGTTTTGGTGGGTTTTATTTCCCCCTGCCCCCATCTGGCAGTTTTTGCTTTCATTTCCACTCACTGACATTTCTCCTGCTGCCCTGTCCATGTCTGCGAACCGCCGCTTAGCGTTCCAGAAGCAGGCGTATACGAGGACGACCTTTGATGTCGATGGCGGTTTAATGCATCAGGAATTCCAGCTGTTTAGAGACGGATCAGAGAAAGGGTTCTCTGTGTGGACTTCTATTTCTCTCTCTCTCTCTCTCTCTTTTTTTATTGTCTTTCTGCTCTGCTTGCATGCTGGGATGCTTTCCCCTTGACCTTGTTGCTGTGTCTAGTGTTCAGCATCGGTGAATAGTGTTCGTCTATTAGTGGAACAGAGCGGCTTCAGAGGCCTACAGGAAAACAGAACCGATATTCAGCTGTGACAGAGAGCAGCAGCAATTATATAACAGCTCTGACCGGAGAAGGGAGTCGGTGCTTCTGCTTCTGTTCTGCACACTGGATCGTTTTGGATTTTTTTTTTTTACCCCCCTCTTCGTCTACTCTGTCTGCTTTCGTTTAGATGTGATAACGGGAAAGTTGTTGATGGGAAATGTAACGTGCAAGTCGCAGATGCTCGGGGATTTCCATGACTGCGCTGCGGTTGTGTCCGACCAGTAATTAGGAAGTCCGGGTGTTCGTGATTATTGTTGGAACACGAACGATGACCTGAGCTGAACCAGAATCGGTGCAATGTCTCTCATTAAAGGCACAGCATGTTGCTTTTTACAGATCTTTTTTGGCCAACGTCGTGTTGTCTGACAGGTTCTGTTGAAGCTCTGAAGGCGTGGCTGTGATCAGGTCTGGAGAGTGTCAACTTGAATTGTTGCCAAAATGAGGTTCAGAAAAGTTAATTCATTATTTTATTTATTTTTTTTGAAAGAAGGGGGATGATTCTTTTTTTTCTACATAACGCCCGTCTAGGTTTAATTGACGTTTTTCTCCATTTAACAGGTTAAAAATCATTAGTTGAAAACAGTTTTTTATGGTTTACTTGTTATTGTTTAAACGGTTCAATCGTAGTCTAGTAAGAGAATAGTTACATACACACTACAAAAGAACAGCAGTAAAGTATGTTTACACGTTGACAGATTTTTGCATCCACCTCTCTTACATTAGTAGCATCATCCAATATATTACTATTCATGTTAACTTGGTTTTGACAGTCTTTCTTAATATTTTCTATATTCATATCTACTGTATAATATTGACTATGGCAATACCAACAGAAATAATTTCTCATATTGATATGAAGTGATGGATAAAGGTAAGAGAACAGTTTTCACAGCATTGCTGCAGCAGCAGCAGCATGGAAGGCCGACCCAACAGAGAGTAAACAAACCAGTTGGAGGGAAATTGAGTTGTAAGACGAAGCGGGGACGAATACCCAAAAGTCTGGGCGGTGATGTTTGGGTCATCCGACGCAGGAAGGAAGGTCAGAGAAGGGGCTGTCATCACTCTCGAGCCATTTGTGTGCAAGAGGTTTCGCAATCCACCCGGCGAGACTCTCTTTTCTTTTCAGAGGTGAAACACGAGCCTTTCACAATGGATTTATGTATCTTGGCATTCCTTTCTCATCGGCAGGATGAATGGCTGAAGCCGGAGGAAGTCTCACTACAATGAATAGACCGATTCTGCACAGGCTTTTCGGTCAATGGGAGGGGAAGGCGGGAGGGGAGGGTGGGGGGGGGGCAAGCACCTGCTATCAGCGCGCATACCGAACGAGTCTAAGTACATCTCACATACGTTGGCCCTGCCGATGCCTGCGCTTGTATTTGTTGGTTGTTTCAGCTGTTTTGAGCGAGAGGCCGACCTGTCGGGACTTTTGTTTTGCGCGCACGTTTGCATCCGACCGTTGGCATGCAGGCCCGGCTGTCGAGAAAAGCAAACAGCTGTCTGAGCCACAGGAGGCACATTGATGTCCATGAAATTGAATGAGAAACACATGATGCTTGTAATGCTTCTAAGTATTGACACGTGTGATTTAAAGGGATTTTTAAAAGGATTGTTGTGTGTGGTTGTCAGTAACCGTTTCTTTACTTATAGGAGACGTGTATCTTAAGAGTCCTGGATAGGATTGTCAATCCCTCAATTATATCTAGCCCTTTGGGCTCTGTTGAATGTTGTGAGGCTTTTTCTAAGTTTTTTATAGAAAAGATTGAAGCTCTTAGAGGCTCGAATAAGCTGGTAGATTTAAATTCCCATGGAATGCCACAATGCATAGCTATTCTGGAGCATTTTCAGCCAGTTTCTATAGATGAAATGACTTTGATTATTAAGCATCTGCGGCCTTCAAATTATCCATTGGACTGTCTTCCTACTCGTCTGATAAAAGACATTTTTCTGATTTTTGGCAGCTACATTCTTAAGGTGATAAATACCTCATTGCAGTCAGGTTGTGTCCCATCTACTCTTAAACATGCTGTGGTCAAACCCCTTCTTAAAAAATCCAATCTAGACTCCAGTGACTTAGCAAATTTCAGGCCCATTTCTAAATTGCCTTTTTTATCTAAAATTCTTGAAAAATTAATTTTTATTCAGCTTGAAATGTTTTTAAAAGATAATAATGTAACTGAAAACTTTCAGTCTGGGTTTAAAGTTGCTCATAGCACTGAATCTGCCTTGCTCCGAGTGTATAATGATCTCCTCTTAACAGTTGATTCAGGCAACGTTGCTGTTTTATTACTTTTAGATTTGATCTCTGCATTTGACATTGTAGATCATCAGATTCTCTTACATAGATTAAAACACTGTGTTGGCCTGCGAGGCTCAGTATTCGAAAGGTTTAAATCTTATTTAGGAAACAGAAATTTCTCTGTTCATCTTGACCAATCCTGTTCTGGGGCCAGACCTTTAAAGTATGGTGTTCCCCAAGGGTCAATTTTAGGGCCCATTTTGTTTATCTTGTATTTACTGCCTCTTGGTAAGATTTTCCAAAAATTTAATATTTCCTTTCATTGCTTTGCAGATGACATCCAGATTTATTTGCCCCTTAAAATGGAAAATGGTACAAATGATTCTCTTCAGCTGTTGATAAACTGTTTAGCTGAAGTTAAATTATGGATGGAAGAAAACTTTCTTCACCTCAATGAAAGCAAAACTCAAGCTCTATGATTTGGTCAAAAACTTCAGACTACAAATCCAGATCAGATTCTTGGCTCCTTGGCTCGGTCTTGTCAGACCTCTGCTAGGAATCTTGGTTTCATTTTTGACAGCTCTTTAAAGCTAGATAAACAAGTTAGTTCTGTCATTTAATCGAGTTTCTACCACCTTCGGCTTTTAGCAAAAGTTAAATTATCTTTGGGACATTTTAAAATTCCAGTCTGTGTCCAGAACTTTACGATCAAATAATCAGCTATTACTGACAGTTCCTCGGACTCGACTTAAGAGGAAAGGAGATCGAGCTTTTTCTGTTGCTGCTCCTGTTTTATGGAATAACTTACCTTTCCAGATTAGATCTACCCACAGCCTGGATCGTTTTAAATCACTTCTTAAAACTCATTTTTACTCTTTGGCATTTAATTGATGTATTGTTTTGTGCTCTGTTTTGTCATTTGTGTTGTCGTTCTTGTACAGCACTTTGGTGCAGTTTTATACCTGTTTTAAAGTGCTATATAAATAAATTTGACATTGACATTAAGAGAGGCTGTTATGTGAAACTCAATTTTTTGAGCTTCACATCATATTATCATGTTATTCCCTCAAAAAGTTCCTGGAGTGTTGCTTTGATTCTTTCATGCACGTTTGAGGAATCCTTGAATCTCCCACGGCAACCATTTAGGACTGCCTAAGCGCTTGTGCTCACAAAGCTCCGCCTATTTCCACAAAGCTCCTCCTTGGAGCAGCCGAGCTTTCGCCTCTCCCCTCACCTTCCTCACTTCCGCCCTCAGCTAATTATAGCAGCAGCAGCAATTAGCAAACACCTGGTGAAACTGCGAGTCTGCTGAGGTCATCGGATGGACCACTTGTCAGTCCAGCGCTCCTAAGATCGACCGTAAACGGCGTAATTAGAATCACTGTTGTAACGGCGTACTGGAGGCGGAGTATCAGAAAGAGCGGGAGCCTCTTAAAGAGGCAGAAGCCCAATTTCAAGGCATCGAATTGCGAAGTGAAATTTCTTCTATGCAAAGTTTGATATGTACAGCGTTTTTATAATAACTGAATGCAACATAGTTACTTGACTGTGCTATAAAATGACTGTAAAATATGTAATACTGCCCCTTTAACGCAGTGAAATATCTGGGTTTTTTTGCAGTCAGAAATATTTAAATCCAGCTGTATTCATCATTTTTGCCACAAACAAAATAGAGCAACCATCTAATATCAGCAGCAGGTGCGGGAGGGGCACCACTGTGTTAATCTATGAACAGGACATAAAAGGATAGTGTGATGGAGCATTTTAGCAGTTTTATCAGTAACACCTCAACCCTGGTCATCGGCTAAAGGATCATGTCCTTACATAATCACCAGCTCACACTAACAATGCAAAAGAAAGCATTTTGTTACATAACTAAGCACACCTTTGATAATTAGAATACAAGTATCATTTATCAGATTAAAGTCTGATCTAAAAAAAAAACAAAAAAACAACACTAATTTTTGGACTCTGAATGGAAGTGTTTTTTTTTTTTTTTTTTTCAGTCAACACTAAAAGAAAACAGGTCCTAATGGCTCAATTAAAACCCAAAGGTTGCTGCTCTGGTTTCTGCTGTGTGGGCAGCTTGATGACCAGCACAAACATAAAGAGCTTCTTTACAAAAACCCATCAGAACTCGGTGGAAGCGCAATAATGAGATCTGACTCACGTCTGGTCCGCTGCTTTCAGCTACTTTTGTGCAACTGTGTGTGTTTGGAGGCCACCAACACCTGAGTCACCCAGGCCTCTGAATGAACCATCCTCTCCTTCATTTTCCACCTCTCCCCCCACCCCAGTTTCTCTTTATCGCTCCCTCCATCTCCCCCCCCTCCGCTTGGTGGGAATTCTTCGGAGCAGGTGAGATGGTATCTGGTTTCACAGGATCCGACCCGTGCGGCTCCACCTACTTCGTTTCCCACGGAGCGCGCGCTGGGGGGGCGGGGGGGGAGCGGAAGAAAGCAAGAGCAGGTCTGTCCTCCACCGAGAATCAGCCCTTTGTGCTCGTTTTATCTCGGCGCTTTCACGCTGAATAGGGGCTGGAAAAAGGGAGGGAAGGGAAAACTTCCTCTTGAAAACAAAGGTGTTGAACATCTGTAGTTTTAAAAGTGAAACTCTGGAAACGTTTTTCAAAGAAATGTTTTTTTTGTTTGTTTGTTTGTTTAGGAATGAGCGCGCGCGCTGGATCAGTGCCCTGGGCCAGAATGACAACAATGACAGGAGACATGACAGAACCAGTAAGTCTTCTCAAAAAAAAAAAAAAAAAAATCTCCTTTTTGAGCTCATTGCACCACCTTGTGGCCCTTCAGCGAAACTGAACGTCAATGTAATTGTGAGTTCTGGAACTCTCAAAAACACTTCTAAGGCAGTGTTTTTTTTTTGTTTTTTTTCTCTCTTGCTCTTCCAGATGTTACGCAGGTTGAGGTGATAAGGACGTACACGGCGAAGCAGCCAGACGAGCTGTCGCTGCAGGTGGCCGACGTGGTGCTGGTCTCCCAGCACGTGGACGGTACGTCGCCTTTCCTACGAAGCTCCATTATATACTTTTGTTCGTCTCGACAGACTGCAGCATCATTGAGAAAACATTATTTCAGTCGGTTAAAGGAGGGCGAAACTCATCTATTAGATGGCTCACACACAGATTTTAATATTTTAGGGCGTTTTTTTCTGTATATTTTTGATAATTGTGCTTTACAGCTGAGCTACACTTAGAAAATCTGAATATTACATAAGACTAATAACAGAAGATATAACTACAGAAATGCGTTATGGTCCACACAGTCATGGGGAAAATTGTTGACAGATCACAAAAGATCGTTGCCAACGAAGCAGTAACCACACTCACAGAAAGTTGAGTGGAAGGAAAACTGTGGGAACTGCAGCTGTGAGGGGGTTGTAGACCCAAGACATGTTTTAAGGAGCATGAGGAGCTTCACTGTTTAAGAGTTTGTCCATATCCTATTAACTGATATAACTTACCCTTTTTTTTTCCAACCATAATTTTTTCTTCCACTAAGCTTTCCAGAAATATGCTTGGATAAAGAGCTCTCTGTGAAGAGCAGTGACATGTAGCGGCTTAGTAATAACCAATTTCTGTTTCAAAAGACTTTTTTTTTTAAATATACAACTACTAATATTCTAATTTCCAAAAAAAAAAAAAATTTTTTTTTTTTAGCTGTTATCTGTAGAAATCAAAATTGACCTAAATAAATCCTGAAATTGCATCACTGTGGTTGCAGATCTCCGTAGTAAACACATTTAACCCGCTGAATTGAATTACTGAAATAAATCAACTTTTTAATGATCTGGTTCATTGAGCCGTTCTTCTGAGTTTTCACCATCTTGCCTCAATTTCCTTTCATCATGCGCTCACACTCGCGCTCCTCTCCCTTTTTGCTACCTATCTCTTTCACATAATGGACCTGATGTGTTTGAAATCCTCACCCCTTACCCCCATCCATCTCTACCCAAAAGCCTGGAAGTTAATTGCCGCTTCGGTGACCATAGCAACAGGCTTTCTCGTCAAAGGGACACAACAACATCACAAAAAAAAAATAAAAAAGAAAAAAAAAGAAAACCATCTACGCTGCATTAGTAGAGGCTTGACGCGAGTGCGGCTCTCTCTCTCTCTCCCTCCCTCAGGCTGGTACGAAGGCGAGCGGCTGCGCGACGGCGAGGCCGGGTGGTTTCCCGCGGAGTGCGGCGAGGAGATCACGTGCCAGGCCACCATCGAACGCAACATGCAGAGGATGGACCGGCTGCAGGGGCTGGAGACCAACGTGTGAGCCGCGCCGACCGAGCGACCGTCCGGCTGAACTTTTCGGCTGCGGATTCAGCACCTGCCCGGGTTTCATCCTGCTGAGCACCGACTCGGGAGGAGAACAAAAACTAAAGCGGATTCCTTTAATTAGCTATCGCTCTCTGAGTGGGTGGGGGTGGCCCCGACAGCATGTCACACTGATTAACTCTCTGGCTGGTTGAGGAAAAACTCCACGCACACCGCAGCCGAAGCAGCTGCTGTCAACACCCTGCCACGTAACAACTGTTGCTGTTAAATTTATAAATGTGTTTTTTTGTTGTTGTTTTTTTGTAAGTGGCGTGCTGCGTAATGATTACAATGGCGCTGCGGGAGGTAAAGCAAACCCAATTAGAGGGAATCTGACAGCAGCCCAGGCGCGCCCCGCTAACGAGGCTCCGGCCGGACGATAAACCCCCCCCCCCCCCGTAACTCGTGTCGCTACAAACTTGGAAATGTGTTTCAAGCAACAGCCGAGCAGAAGATCAAATCGAAATCCATATGTACATAGAGATGTAAATACTCATAGCTGATTAAAAAAATAATAATAATAAAAAACAAAACAAAAACAAATTACAGCCATCAGGGAAGAAGAAGGGATCTATTACGGCATCCAGTCGAGCAGAAGGGCCGAGTATCTGCACTCCAACTTGCCGTTTGTCAGCGGTTAATGTCACCTTCATGAATCAGACTCTACATTTACGTCTCAAGCACCATTATTCCCCCCCTCCATCCCCCCCCCCCTCACTCCATCAGTACTGCAGTTTGAACGGCGGGAAATATCACTATTGATGCAAGCCAGACGTGGCGGTGTATAAATAATCCCATGTATGTATATTTTATGAATGCATGTGACGCTGAAGAAATTGTGCGTCTGCCGTCGGTGAGACCAGACCCCTGCCTGGCCCCTGCTTTTAATGCGATTGTCCGGTGTGTGAGTCATCATTTATTGTTGCCCGGCTAAAGGGGGGGAGGGGGGGGGAGGAAAAAAAAAAAAAAAAAAAAGGGGCCTGACCAATGGATGGGGATAACACAATTTATCAAGCCAACAGCTCTGGACTTAACAGTGATGTTTGACCACAAGCTGAGGTTTTGTTGTACAGAATAAACCCCTCTCCATCCCTCCATATGGACACACACCTCTTGTGTGGCTTTACGTTTGCACTCAGGAAAAAAAAAAAGAAAAAAGCAGAAATTAATGCATGAACTTCTTTTGCTTCAACAAATTCCTCCTTTTGTAACTATTTTCAAAAAAAGCAAAAAAAAAAAAGCAACAGATTTGCATGTGTAAATATGTACAGTAACATTTGTGTTTTCTTAAATACAGATTTATATCGGAAGAAAAGAAAAAGCCATTTTAATTAGTCTCTTAATAAAAGTGTAATTGCTCTCCACGTCGTTTTCCAAGTGATCATTTCATTCTGCATATCGACAGACTGAAGCTTTTGCAGTTTTGTTTTGCCGTCACCATGTCATCAAAGAACTGATGTTCGGTCAGATGCTCTTGCAAACGTTACACATGAATCTTTATCATTTATTGGAAATTACATTTATTGCCGTAGTTCAACATTTTAAATAGAGAAATACAAAACCTTAAAAAATACATATATATTTTAACATATTTTGCGCAGCAGGTGTGTAAGTGGGGAAAACGGCGTACCTTGTGCGGCACGTGAAACCTCTGGCTGCCTTGGTAGTGCGAGATTTAGTACAGGCACAGCTTGAACACCACACAATAAACCCGTTTCAAATCAACAGTCGAATGTTGTCTGATGCTGGACTGTGTTTACTCATGTTTAGTGCTCTACAGGTTGGTCTCTCTAACAACACCACCACATTAATGTCGACAGAGTTAGGAAGCATTTTAAATCCACACATTTATATATATTTATACGTACATGCTTATTGCTGATGATAATAGATGGTGTCAGATCACTTTTACATCTTTTTGTCAGTGAATACATTTTGAAATAAATTTGTTGATCAAGTGTGATGGATCTCTCTTAATCAAGTGTCTGCATGAGGTGGGGTGAGATCCAGAAATGCTACATAATTATACATGCAAGTAAAAAAAAAAAAAAAAATTTCAGAAGGACACTTTTTTGTCCAGAGGAAGGAACTCTTTCACCACCTAGTGTCTATTCGGAGAAATTACACCCTTCACAACAGACTTGCGCAGTATCTTGCTGCAAACACTGAAAGAGCTAAGATTCCTCAAAGTACAGCCTGTCCTGTCTAGTAGACATCCTCACCCTTGACTCTCCAGTTCAGTTTCAACACCACGGTGTGTGAGACAAGGAACCTGGCAGTTCAAAATGCCGTATGCAAGCATATTAATGGAACATAGAGTGGAAGGATAAACTGAGGTAAGAAAAGGAGCAGCTGGAATAAAGAGGACAGCAAAGCTCAGGCCAAGAGTTTGAGAGAGATTCACAAGATGTGGCCCGCAACTGGAGTCTGTGCTTCAAAAGAAAGTACACACAGTGGTACTGAAGAAATGGGCTGCAACATTTGCATTCCTGCTGTTAATCCAATTCTGGACAAAAAAATGTTAAAAACCTAAGCTGTAGAGATAAAAGTGGATGGTATCAGTAAACGTTCAACAGTATTTCAGGACCCGTGTGTTGGTTCGGTTGAAGTGAACTCTGGCGCAGTTCGAATGCATATGTGAAAGCCAAGCGGGCCGGAGACCGCTCCAAAAGCAAGCAGCAGAGGGTATTCTGGGTAAATAAGACCAAAACAAGCGTGCTGGCTTATTTCTAGCAGGAGACAATTACTTTTACAAATGACAGACGAGAAATCCTTCAACTTTAAATCTGACATTACTCCAGTTTTGTTTACAGTTTGCAAGAAAAGAACTTGAGTTTATGTCTTCTTCAGAGGCTTTCGTGTCGTTTCCTACAACGGTTCCTGCACAGCGCCACCACAGGGTGAACAGGTTTTTCACAGGGCTTGGATCCTTTGACACAGTGCGGTCAGAGAGCGAACCGTACCAGCTGAATATGGAACAAATGTCATTCTGGTCGCTAATCGAACTCACTGTACCAGACTACCATGTGTGAAAACACCCTCTCTCTAGGCATTTAACTGAAAAGGTGGCAGACGTCGCACAGAGTGATTTTAAGTAGCTTCTTTATTGCATAATGTGAAAGAAAGGTGAAACTTTCCCAAACATAAAATGTACAAACTAAACAAAAAAAGGATGCATACAGACAGGTTGGTCCTTGAATAATCTTAAAACGCGAAAGAGAACCACAATTCATTTTCATTTTTTCAGCACTCTAAGCCTTCCGTGTTTGGCCTTCAGCATCTAGGGAGCAGAAAAGTTTAAAACCAAGCAGAAGCATCAAGGAGGCCAGCTGTCTATCATAAATATTCCAACAAACTCATGTCTGAATGTGCAGTCAGTCATCGCGAAAGCCTCCTCTCTTCATCGCCAGCCAAACGCCCGGCCACTTTCAATCATCATCGTCGTCATTGTCATCGTCATCGTCGAAGTAAGAGTGCCTTCCGCTGGGAGCAGACGCCCACGTCTTGCCGTCGTCCTTGCTGCTGCCTGCAGGCCTTTCCTCAGTAGTGATGAGGTCTATGATGGCCGTGATGACGGCGCAGTCTTTGGACTGGCGGTTCTCCCAATCCACAGGAGCCGGGTTGCTGATTTTGTCTTGCAGCAGCGAATCCAGCTCCCTCTTCAAACTCTGCAGGACACAAAACGGAGAGTGATTAGAAAAAGAAGAAAAACAAAAAAGGTAAAACAAACGACACGTCGGGATAAAACCAGCATCTGGCGTCGGCTTGGATCACCTTAACGAGATGAGCGATGCGCGCCGGGGACCTGAAGACGATCCAGCGGTCGACCGCGACGGTCTCCTGGCCCTCGTCTTTCTGGATGGTGATGTCTCCCCCGAAGAACAGCAGCGAGAACGGCGACACCTCGGTGCAGTCGTACAGGAAGATCTGAAGGGAGACGGCGACATGGCGCATACGTGCAATTACGGCATCGTTGAAGCAGATTAATATGTTTCGGTGACGGGGAGCGGCGTCGCTGCTGAGGCCGACAGCTGCGCCGCGGTGTGGGCTGAAAGTGTCCCATTAGTGAAGAGAGAGGCTGTGCCAGTTTGAAATGTGTTTCGGTGCCTCTGGTGTGAGGAGAAATGTCATCCTGCCCCATCTGTGAATCTCCCTAATGTGTTACACTCTTTCTATTCATTTCACATCCTCGGCCAACAGCTGCTCATGTAAAGCAGCTCGCTCTGCCAGGCACGAAATGAAGGACTGAAAACCCTGAAAGCTGAGTGTAATACTCCTTTTTTTTTTTTTTTTACCTAAATAACAAAAAAAAACATGGCTTTTAAACATAAAACAACTAAAATCGAAACAAAATCTTATTTCAGAAGAATGATAACAGAACAGAAATAACTGATCGTTTCATAAAGTCACTGCAAAGTACTAATGTATTGATTCTGACTGAAATCAAAATAATCACAATGTCTGCCAATTAGCACATCTTTATTTTACAAAGCTGTTAGTCAGAATTTCACATATTCTCATCAAGGCCACTGATAGCAGAACATTCAGTGCCTTAAAAATAAGTTTAGATGTAATGTGGTTTTCTCTGCACAAAGTCGAAACCATGGAAAGAAACTCAAGTTAGTTAGGGCTGCAACTAGCAATTATTTTAGTATGTAATTGATTATTCTGTCATTTGTTCCGCCGGTTAATTGGATTAAAAAAAAATAATTGGCAAACTGCTGATTTTTTATTTTACTGCTTAAGCCTTTTTATACAATATTAGAAACGCAATAAAAGATGCAAATGATTCAATTCCTTTTTTTTAGAAAAAGAAAAGAAACATTTCATTGCCAAATATGCTGTAACACAGCATTCCTTTAGTGTATACTAGATCATGTTGAAGCTAAAACTATACCACTTAAGGAGTTCTGGGTATAACATATTTACAAACAAAGATGGTTTTTTTTATCTTAGATGGCAAAAAGTAAAAAAATTTGAACAGTTTTTGCTAAATTACTGCTCTGAATATGTCGTACTTCAGCAAACGTCCTTTTTTTTGAGTCTTTATTCTCCAGTTAACGATTCATTACTAGATTAGTTGACACTTTTTCAACAATCAATTCATCACAAAAAATCCTACTATTATTTTAACTCAATAAGTTTGCGTATTCTTGAACAAGAAAAAAAAAAAGAGCCAAAATTCCAGTCAGAACAATGCTAGGGACTCACGATGTTTTCAGAAAGCAAATTCGCTCAAGGACATTTTATCCCTGTGTTGGTTCATGTTTATGTTCAGTTTCAATCTTAGTCTTGTTTTCCAGTCATATTGTTTGCTGCCTTATCATTCCGTCCAGCAAAAGAAACAACAAAAAAAACAAAAATAATGTTATAGGTTCATGTTGACCTCTGACCTGTGCTGTGTATTGCCCAACAAACAACGTGAAGCACATTCACTGCACTCAAGATAAAAAAAAAAATAAAAAAAAAGAAAACCCTACAGTGTCCTTTTAAAAACACAAACTTTCTGACGATAAATTAAAAAGACAAAAAGGTCAAAACGAAACCTATTTATATTCCGGCGGTATAAAACAAGCTGAAAATTAAGGGTCGAGTCAGTGGAAAGGAAATGAGCAGAGAGAGCCGGCACACCGACATTCACCCTATAAGTCTGTGATGTAATGGATCACCGGGGACAAGTGCGTCAGAGGAGATCAAGTTTAACGTCATCGCATATTTTCCTCGGTTCCCCCCTCTTTTCTGCTTCTCCACTCGTCTGCCTCCTTCTCTCTTAGCGAGAAAATAACCTTGGAAATCTCACGCTGTCTGAATACTTCACTCTGCGAACGCAGCAGCGCGGCATTGAGCGAGAGGGAAAAAAAAAAAAAAACTAAACAAAAGGAAAAGATTTAAATGAGACACACACAAAGGTAAATTACAGCCCAACACGTTTTCTTCGTCGACACAGAGATGACGAAGGTCCAGGATGCAATCGGAGCAATTTCTCTATGAAACCTG